AGGCTGGCCTGGAACTTGCCACTGCAGCCTTCATAATGTTGTGATTACAGGCATGTGCCACTACACTCCACTCTACCTTGATGTTTTGGGTTTTATTTTTATTTTTAATTATGTGTATGTGTGTGCACGCACCTGAGTACAGGTGACCACAGAAGCCTGTCTCTGCCTCCCAAGTACTGGGATTTAAGGTATGTACTATCACATCCAGCATTTAATTTTTTTATTTTTGTTTTTAGGTTTTTTTTTTTTTTTTTTTTGGTTTGTTTCATTTGGTATTTTTGAGACAGGGTCTCCCTGTAACCCCAGTTGGCCTGGAACTCCCTATACAGTCCACACTAGTGATCCTCTTGCCTCTGCCTCCTGAATGCTGGGTTTAAAGGCTTGCTCCACCACACTCAGCCTTTGATTTTAGTTTTGTTGTTTTTTTTAATTTTTTTAATTTTTTTTTAATTATTTTTATTTTACATGTATGAGTGTATTGCCTGCATGTGAGTGCACCCATGTCATGCAATGCCACGGAGATCAGAAGAGGGCTTCAGATTCCCCCTGGAACTGGAGCTAAGGACGGTTCGTAGCTGCCATGTGGGTGCTAGGAATCAAACCCCGGTCTTCTGCAAGAGCAATCAGTGCTCTTCACCACTAAGCTATCTCTCCAGTCCCATTTTTAGTTTTTTGTTTGTTTTTTGTTTTGTTTTGTTTTTTGGTCTTTTTGAGACAGGGTTTTCCTGTAGCCCCAGCTGTCCTAGAACTCACTATGTAGACCAGGCTGGCCTTAAACTCACAGAGGATCTGCCTGCCTCTGCCTCCCGAGTGCTGGGATTAAAGGCGTGCGCCACCACACCTGGCTGTTTTTAGTTTTCTAAGACAGGGTCTTAATGTATAGTCCTGGCTCCCTGCATGGCTGCCCTGGAACTCCCTAATTAGACCAGACTGGCCTCAATCATAGAGATCTGTCAGTCTCTACACCCGGAGAGCTGAGATTAAAGGGATGCACTACCACTCCCTGCTTGTTTTATTTATTATTTTGTATGGGTTCTGGAAATTTAACTCAGGTCACCAGGTCTGCATGGCAAGTGCCTTTATCTGATGAGCCAGCTCCCCAGACAAAAATCTCACTCTATAGCACAGACTGGGCTCAAACTCAAATCCTTCTACCTCAGGTTCACAAGTGCTAAGGTTACCACCAGCGCTGCCATTATGCCCAGTTCAATATTACATCTCAAATAAAGGCAAATTCAAGATCATCCTGCCTGAGTTACATGAGACCCTGTCTCCAAAACAAAGTATCTCCATTTTTTCTAGTATTGACTCTGCTCAAGTTTAAGTCTAAATCACTAAAGCAAGTGTCTCCAGTCTCCCCCACTGAAGTTTTCCACAGACAGATCACATTATACCACAACTGCAAAAATCAGTCACTGGTTCCTAATTCTATCACATTCTATCCCACAGTCTGGATTTCTGGTCACTATACCCATCCTACCCAAGCAATTCCCAACAAGTATCCTATCAAAATGCTATGTACATTTAGTTTTCCAAATCCAAAGTAACTTTCTATCTGGAATAGTGATGCATGTTTGCAAACCTAGTCTCAGGAGGCTGAGGTGGGAGAACAGGAGTTCAAGGTCAGCCCCAGCTACATCATCAGGACCTCAAAGCCAAGGCTACAGAAGACCCTGTCTCAAAAATACAAAGGGCCAATGACATGGCTCAGCAGGTAAAGGTGCCCACCACCAAGCCTGACACCCTAAGATCAATCCATAGAACCAGCATGGTAGAAGGTAAGAACCTAACCCCCAGCACTATCATCTGACCTTCACATGTATGTTGTACCATTATTATGAATGTGTGTATGCACATCCACGGACACACAGTGCTAATTAATACTTTTAAATATATACATTTATAATACATATAATACATGATACACACACACAGGCACACATGCATGCACAGAAGTGCCACACAAAGAAAATGAGGTGTTACTTCAAAGGAGAGTCTTAGAAGTCACTAAAGAAGTCAATAGTACTCATTTAATTCTAATTTCAAGTGTTTTTAGTCTTGACTGACATGTTCTCAAGTGGGGTTTTTTGTGTGTGTGAAAATCAACCTGCATCCTGTTTTTGCTTTTTTTTTGAAACAGGGTCTTGCACTGAAGCCCAGGCTCACCTCAAACCCGAGGCAACTGTCCTGCCTCAGTCTCCTGATACAGGTGTAAGATACCATATTCAGCTTTGACTTTTACCTTCTATTACATCCCTTTCTACTAAAGTGCTATGAAGACCCAATGACAGTGTAGACTGATGCAGTTAATAAGATGTACTGTCTGTTCAAAATGTGAGATCTAATCTTCCTTCAAGATTTTGCCAAACACCTACTATGTACGATGCATAAGGTTTTGTTAGACTAGGACGGAAATCAAATAAAAAGCAAATAAATAAAATTTTTTTATGTTTAGCCGGGCGTGGTAGCGCACGCTTTTAATCCCAGCACTTGGGAAGCAGAGGCAGGTGGATCTCTGTGAGTTCGAGGCCAGCCTGGTCTCCATAGCAAATCCAGGCCAGGTGGGGCTAAAGGGAGACCCTGTCTCAAAAAGACCCAAAAAAAAAAAAGCTCTATGCTCATACAGATTTGCTAACTACCATGTTAGATGCATAACATAATCCCAAGATTTTTTTCTTATATTGGAGGGAGATTGGTTTTTTGAGACAGGGTCTTACACTGTAGACCAGGCTGGTTTAGAACTCACTATGTAGCCCAGGCTAGCCTCAAACATCTCCCTCAGTCTTGAGTGCTAGGATTACAGGTATGAGTGACTACGCCCAGCTCTCATTTGTTTTTTAACAGAACCAATACTAAACTAATATATGTTTGATGAGGATCAGACAGGTTTACATTTCTATTTGTATGCTTCAACTGCATCATCTGTCTCCACATTCAAATCTAACTATATGTGAAAACAAAGACAAAACTACACATATGCATAATAAATATCAACATGAACCTAAGAAAAAGAATTGTTGGAGCGATCAATAGGTTTTAAAAACAGACTATCTGCCAGGCACAGTGGCACACGCCATTAATCCCAGCACTAGGGAGACAGAGGCAGGCAGATCTCTGTGAGTTGCAGACCAGCTGGAGCTACACAGAGACCCTGTCTCAAAAAGACCAAAAATGGGCTGGAGAGATGGCTCAGCGGTTAAGAACACTGGTTGTTCTTGCACAAGACCCAGGTTCGAATCCCAGCAGCTAACAACTGTCTATAACTCCAGTCCTAGGGGATCTGGCAGCCTCTTCTGACCTCCTCGGGCACTGAGATACGAGCGCACATACCTACATGCAGGCATAACACTCATACACATAAAATAAAAATAGCAAATATTAAAAAAAAAAAAAAAAAAGACCAAAACCAACCAACCAACAAAAAACAGACTATCCATCCTAAAAGATCAAAACCAACCTACAAATAAACAAAAAACAAACTATC